AGTAACAATCCTTAGTAGTTAATTTACATGGTCTCTTACTAGAGAAAGATTTAACATTATGTTGCTCAATATGTAGGTTGCTTTAGCTCATTAGTGGGAAAGTAAAAAACAAATTAAAGGACATACTCGTTTTCCTGGCACTCTAGTGCCCTGAGGGTGCCCCCACCCTCAGGGCCCCCTCCAGCCCGGCTCTGGAAAGGGGAAAAGGGGTAAAACTCCTCAGATCCTCCTCCGTTCCTCCCCGTCGGCTGAATGCGCACGCGCGGCAAGAGCTGCACGCGCATTCAGCCAGTCGCATAGGAAAGCATTTACAAATAAATTTACAATGCTTTCCTATGGACGCTGGCGTGCTCTCACTGTGAAAATCACAGTGAGAAGCACGCAAGCGCCTCTAGCGGCTGTCAATGAGACAGCTGCTAGAGGCTTTGGGGGAAGGCTTAACCCATTCATAAACATAGCAATTTCTCTGAAACTGCTATGTTTATAAAAGAATGGGTTAACCCTAGCTGGACCTGGCACCCAGACCACTTCATTAAGCTGAAGTGGTCTGGGTGCCTAGAGTGGTCCTTTAACAGTAATAACCCTTAGTAGGTAGTTTACATGGTCTCTTACTATGGGAAAATTACCAGATTTTACTAATTTCATGACGTAAAGTCATGATTTTATAAAGGACACGGAGGCGAGTATTATGCTTCTCTCTTTCTTTTATTCTTCAGCAGCAAAAGAAAATATAGTATATATATTCAATGTAAAAAGGGAAAAAACAATTCAATAACACCACATCATACTTCTAAAGGGTTAATCAGATACCACATATGAACCAATCAGAGTGTCCCCATTACCACAAAGTCCCATGTGACCCTAAGCCACTCCTCTTTCTTTTGTTGTTGTTGATGGACACTCCAAATTCAGCAGTGAAAATTCCAAACAGTGAACGTGTAAAGAAAAAAACAGCGAATCCAATAAAAGATGACGTCAGACGAAAAACTCAACAAATCCGTAAGAAACTGGTCATCTTCCATACGCACTCCAGTGGGCATGCCTGAAACCATTATGGCACTCCAATTAGGAAGCTGTAAAACAGAGAAACGAGATGGTAAAATATGTTCTTGGATAATATTTTTCCACGTTCATAATCCAAATTAACTAGCACAACATCATTCTCAAGTTAGCCATTCAAAAGCAATAAGGTAACACATTATTACACGGTTCCATTCCCATAACATGTATTATATTCCCAGAGGCGGGCGACTTACCTCTCGTGGGTGGGATAATACTCGCCTCCGTGTCCTTTATAAAATCATGACTTTACATCATGAAATTAGTAAAATCTGGTAATTTTATTAAAGGACACGAGGCTCCTATTATGCTAGTTCAAAGCTGTGTGATCACCGACGTGGAAAAATGGGAAACTGGACGGAAATAAAATTCACGGAATGTAGATTCTCTCGACCAATCGGCAGCTCGGAGGAGATCTTCCAATTTACAGCCTAATGAAAACGCTTTTGATGCCATCGCACCCCTCACTGAATGTGCTCCATATGTGGAAGTATCAATGCCTGCCGACGTCATGATCCATTTGACCCAGCGCGATAGTGTGACTGTAGAAACCGGACGATGCGGTTGTCAAATGGCCAGGAATAGGTCCGCACAGTGAGGGTCCCGGACCGCAGCCGTCCTTGCTTCATACTCCTTAAGGCAGGCTACTGGGCATAAGTTACTGTTGTGTGGAAAAGCGGGGTAAAGAACCTTTGTGATGGACGTTTTCATACGCCTCGATATATCAAAGGCCACCCCTTCCGGTGTATAAGAGCGTGCCTGAAGGTCCAATGCCCGTACATCTGAGACCCGTTTACAGGAGATGAGGCAGAACAAAGTGGCTAATTTTGCGGTGAGTTGTTTGATCGACAAATCTCCGTTCTTCGGCCAACTTTCAAAAAGTCGGAGAACGAGGTTCACATCCCATAATTCGGAATACCGAGGTCGCGGTGGTCATGCAAATTTTATGCCTCATAGGAGTCGACACACCATCGGGTGTTTCCCTGTTTGAATTCCATTCCAACCTACGTGGCCTGCCGAGATAGCGGATCTATAGAGATTAATTGTACGATACGCCAGGCCGTGGTCGAAAAGTGAACTAAGGAAACCCAGGACGTGACTCACAGTTGCAGATATGGGATCCACGTGTTGTTCCACGCACCAACCATACCATGCGTTCCAGGCATGTAAATATGATTTCCTTGTGCCAGGGGCCCAAGCTCCTGCCAAGAGGTCCAGAGTCGTTTGTGGAACATTTCGGGTGTCCTCGAGTCGCCTGAAAGGAGCCATGCCAAAAGCTTGAGATGTCCCTGTAGTATGAGAGGGTGCGGATTGCCTTAGGGGTCCAAGAGGATGTTGTCGTGTACTGGCAGTAACCTCGGTAGATCTATGGACAGTTCCAGGAGTGTAGGGAACCAGGGTTGAGCCGTCCAAAATGGAGATACGAGGATTAGGGATGTCCGGTGTCGTCTGAGGTGCAGCAAGGTCCGCGCGATGAGAGAAAAGGGGGGAAAAGCGTAATGCCTGGTGTGCGGCCACGGTTGTCGGAAAGCGTCTGCCGCCAGAGCCTCCGGATCTGGCCTCCAGCTGAAAAACTTCGGCAACTGCGTGTTCAGCCATGACGCGAACAGGTCGATGTCCAGCGGCCCCCACAGTGAGTGTAAATGGCTGAAAATGGCCGGGTTCAGCCGCCAATCGCTGGCATCCCGTAGATGTCTGGAGTTCCAATCCGCTACCACATTGCTCATCCCTGGGATGTGTTCCGCTTGCACTGATATGTTGCGGTCCAGGCAGAACTGCCAGAAATCCTTCACCAATTCCGCAAGTATTGCTGACCTCGTGCCCCCGAGGTGATTGATATATCGAACTGCGGACACATTGTCCATGCGTAACAGGATGGAACAGTTGGTCGACACGTTCAAGAGACTCCGTAAAGCAAACGAACCTGCCAACACTTCGAGGCAATTGATATGAAGTCCTTGTTCCTCCTTAGACCATCTTCCTCCGGTGGAGAAAGGTCCGCGGTGCGCACCCCAACCGTGCAAACTGGCATCGGATTCGACTACGAGGTCTGGCGCTGTTCCGAAGATCGCGCGGCCATTCCAGGCTTCCATGTGTTGTAGCCACCATTTGATTTCCTCTTTGGCGGCACAGTCGAGAGGAACAGAGTCGGAGTATGAGTGCCCCAAGCGAAGGTATTTTGCCTTCAACCGTTGAAGTGCTCTGTAGTGTAGGGGTCCGGGGAAAATGGCCTGAATTGACGCCGAGAGGAGGCCTACAATCC